GTGACGTCACCCCTGTCTAAAAAAGCGCCCCGGCGGGCGAGCGGGCGACAGGGCGGGCGACGGCAACAGCAGCGGCCGCAGCCGGAGCAGGACGTGCCCCGCCGCCGACATGGTGTCCCCCGTCACCGTGGTGAGTGCGGGCCGCGCGGCGGGCGGGCAGCGGGACCCGTGACCCCTCCCGCGGCCGCCCTCCTCCGCCGGTACCTCCCCCCCCGCCATCGCCGGTGCTCCCCACCCGGTCCCTGAGGTGCTGCCCCCGAGGGGGTGGTGGGTGCTCCCACCGCTGGCGGAGACACCCTCTCCCTCTCCCCCCGCGTACCTGCTGCTCGCCCCGGCCCTGCGCCGGTGCCGCCCCCGGCAGCTGTTGCTCCAGCGGTGGCTCTCCATCTCTTCCTCCTCTTGGCATTTACATTTTCACGAGGGTCTATCAGACGCCGGCTTTAGGCAGAAGACACCCGCTCGGAGCGTCTCTGCTCCAGCTGCCCTGGGCTTGCACCGTGGCAGTCCCCGGGAGCATCCTCCTGCTGCCGCGGCCTCCCTGCCCTCGCAGGCACCTCCGCCTGACCACCCGGAGGTGGCTTTGCTCTCCAGGTGACGGCTTAGGCCAGCCACTGCGCTGGGCTGACTGTGGTATAGACTGGGTGACCTCCCACCAAGACCTCGTCGCCCCTAGCAAGCCAGTCTGGCACTTCCACCGCCTATCGACATGAGATGGGGACGGTGTCACCTGCCTGTTTCCTGGGGGAGTCATGGTGGTTAATTAAGGTACCCAGCAGTAAGGTAGTGACTGGCCGCTGTCCTGTCCATAGGTGACGTGTAGCAGCACAGCTGGGTTGGCGGAGCAAAGCTGGTAAATGAAGTAGCTATGGCTGATGGCAGGTTGGACCAGCAGTACCAGGTCCTGGCCCAGCAGGTGATGAGGGGGTCTTTTGATGCTGGAAGACAAAATGCTTTTGTCCAGAACAGCAGAGAAGCCGCGCTGTTAGACACGCTGCTTTGCATGTTCCTCTTTCTAGAAAGTGAGGGATTTGTCCAAGTGCGCGTGCTGTAAGAACAGCTAACTGTTGGGGGGAAAGTTGCCTGGCGATCGCTGCAGCACTGAACACCTATTGCTGGTGTCCTGCTTCCCTGCAGATCCCTTGTCAGCCTGTTTTGAAATATTGTGGTTAATGGCCAGTCCATCGCGTTCTCTCTTGCAGGTAGGAATCCCGTCCCTTCCCCGTTCTTAACTCACAAAGCCAGGGTTCAAAACTTTTAAATTGCTTTGCCAGTTCTGCACAGCAGCTTGTATTGTCTGATACTTCAGATGAATTTTCCCCCAGTTATTAACATGTACCTGGTAAGTTCATCAGCAGCCTAGGGGTGACTTTTATCTTTACAAACAGAGGGAAGTAGCTTGCAAATTATACCATTGTAGCGCCAAAGTCTTTTTTTTCTTTTTTTTTTTTTTTTTTTTTTTTTTTGTTTAATGGTTTTCAAAAATAACTGAAGAGGTTTGCTATCTTTGTGCTTCTGTGCCGTAAGCTAAAGTCATCCTTAAGTAACCTTAAGTAATGCTTTTGATTACAGTAAATTGTGTACGTGTACTGTACCTTGGAAGTAAAATCTTATGCGGGGACAATAACGGAATGGCTCCAAGACTGGGAGGATTTGTTTCATAATCCACTGAAGGAGGCAGCACTTGGCTTTTTAAGACTAGTGAATCCGGGTGGTCTTGCAGAGTATATTTCAACTGAGCTTTGAGAGGAGGCAAATGACTAAAGCATGAGTATGTGTTGGGAAGGGTGTGCGTAGTTCAGACCGGAAGGCTTTATCTGTACCAGGTACTACGCTTTAGGAAGGTAACTTGGGAAGGAAAATGTCAAAAAAAACCCCCAAACAACTGTTTTCTTCGCTTGCCCTTTCGACATGTAGAAAAGTACGTTTCTGCTCTAGCTTCATCCCTGACATACTGACTCTTTTCTTCACCAAAAGCAACTAATGCAGGTGTGAAGCTGCAGAGAGCTGGAGGGACGATGACACCAGGGAGCTGTGACCAGAGCTGCAGCTGTTTACCATGGCCATAGAGGTGGGAGGGTTTCTCGTCCTCCAAAGAGCTCATAAAAGAAGAGCTGCAAGCCTTCAGCCTGTTAAGGAGCAGTTCTCTGCTCATCACCACTGGTGGGTTTTCATGTTGCTGTTCTTCCAAAGAAGTGCATCGGCCATGCTGCAATCTGCGAAGCACAGGCTGAAACGTGTCATGCAGCAGCGTGTCCCACTTGGGAGCGTGGTGTGGCCCCTGCACAGCTGCCAGCTGGAGCCACACGGGGTGGGATGCAGGGTGGCTGCACAGCTGGTGGGCTTCTGCTGGGAAGTTGCTTGCTGAAGGGAACAGCAGTGGGCAATTGGTTTGGCCACAGCTAGGTGCTATCCTTTGGGCATAGGCCTTATCTCTGTACCACACTGCCTTTAGCTGCGTAGATAGACCAGGTGTTTGGAGCCAGCATGTCTGTCACTGCTATGACACATGATGGGGATGCTGTCTGTGGGGGCAGCACCTGAGGCAGAATCAAATTAGCCAGAGGAATTGATTTGTCGACAGCGTATGTCCTCTCCTGGTACACTGCAGCATCAGCCTCGATGGGGAGGACACTAGAAGAGCACAGCCAAGAGTGACATGATTTTGCTTCCCGTTTTGAAAGCGATGGCCTTTGTACATAACTGCAGCAGATGGTCCTGACTACTTACACACAACTTGGTCTCCTGCGTCTCCCCCTTTTCCTTCTTTAGGATGCTCTTGTGACAAGAATCAGAAACCCTGAGCTCCAGGTCTGCTGTACAACTGACAGCTGGAAGAAACCAGGCAAGGAGGCATGGACTTTGGAGAGGGAGCTCGGGAGAGATGGCAGCTAGGGCTGCTTGTTTGTGCTGGCTGCCGGGTGTGCATCATGGCCTGGGGGGTTTGACATGTCCACCCCACAGGCAAGGAGAGACCATGGCACCATGCAGAGCTAGCCAAGCTGTTGTCTCTGGTGCTGCAGAATTCGGACGTGGTGAGGGGGGAAGCATGCACACAAATAAATGAGTCTGGGGCCAAAGTACCTTTTAACATATTGTGCCAGGTCCTCAGCTGGGGTAAAGCTCTGGGGTCCTGCTGATGCCAGTCTAGACTTGCATGGTGCTGGGCTGTGGCAGAGAAGATGCATTTGTCTGGCGGTCCTGCTCCAGCTGGTGAGCAATGCTCACTGTGGTTGGAAGTCACCTTGGAGGGAAGCTTTCACTGCTCACTCTGCTAGGCAAGCAGGAGCACCCTGCTTAAAAATCTTTCTTCTTGCTACTGCTCTGATTAAGAGCTGCTTTTTCTGCATAAAGCTGTGTGGGCCTGTGGTTGGAAAGCAGTATTAATAAATGGTGCATTTACTTCATGGATATGTGAGGTTTAATTCCCTTGTTGATCAGTCATCACTGGTCTCATATTAATTAAAGTCCTTTCTGGGACTGCATCGTTAGTGATTTTTGTCCTATTGATATTTTTTGGTTTTTTTGGGGGGGGGCTGTAGGGGTTTTCTCACTATTGGTTAAGCAGTTTTTAGCATGAGCTTGTGGGAGATAGCCCTTGCCCTAAAGGACCTCTCTGCCCAGCAGGCACCATGATTGCAGGGGCGGCCAAATGTGCAGGACATGAGCCTGGAGACATGCAGTCATTCTGGCATTTACATAATGCTCCTTGCTCAAAGGGACCTTATTTTCCCCCTAAAGTTAGGGCTAAACTTAGTGTAGAGCTTCATACCACCTTGAGGAAAGCAGGGCATAGGAAATATAAAGACATTAATTGACTGAGAATAAGTCTCATTTGGGGAGCAGTTATAGATGACACCGGTGTGTATTTTTGAGCAAGATGAACTATGGGCTCTCATTCCTACAGCACCCCCTCTGTACCTGACTTTTACATGGCCTAACACAGTCCTATGTGTGGGAGGGAGGTTAAACTCCCTGTTTGGGACAGATTTTTGCCCAGAAGCCATATATTAACAACCTCCATCCCTTCTCTTTTGTCCGCTGAGGTATTTTCATCTTTTAATGGAGATAGCTGAGTTGATGAGAAATATGTTGTTTTGGCTACGTCAAGCAAGTCAAGCCCTCAGCCCTTTTTCTCTTAGGTGGGAAGCAGCCAGCAACCCTCCCAGGAAGAGCCCTTGTTGACCCTCTGGGTAGATGCAGGACATCCCTGTGGGGGGACTATGAAGGTCACTTACAAAAACTGGGCAAAAAAACCTGAAAAGCATGATCTGGAAAGGTAATGAATAACAAATATTGAATAGGGCTGAAGAATTGGGATGGTATCATTTGAATTTCTGAGGAGGGGCCAAACCACACTGATCCAGATGAATATAGAGACCTAATGTAAATCATGTTGCTTAGAGACTCTGTGCTATGGGCAATTGTAGCAGTAGTAGGTCTAAGCATAGTTTTAAAGGTTTATTATTAGAAAGTGTGCTCTGTAATCCTCAAACTGCTGTTGAAAACAAGAAAGCCAGATCACACTTTGAACTGTTTCAGCCTTTGCTTCTTAAATAGACGATGTATTATTTCTGCATTAATGAATAAAGTGTTAGCAACCATCTAAGTCAGAAGTAATTCTTATGGTAGAGAGGTTAATTTTACTTGTTCTCTTTGTTTATATCCAACATTGTTGCTTTCATTGTAATTTTCCCCATTACTTATATTTTATTACGCAGGAGGCTTGTAAACACGCACATTTATATACCAAATAGACAATTATGGAAATATGGCATTTCTATAAAAAACAAACCAATTTAAATGAATTATAGAAATTATTTTTAAACATCTGAACTCAGTAAAGTAAGGGAGGGAATCATCACCTCAGGTAAGCTTAGCAGAATCTTAGTAACATTTATGTCAGTCACACCTTTTGGGAGAAGCCTAAAAGCTTTGCTCCTCCTGAGCAAAAAGCTGTGCTGATTTATGCCAGCTAGAGCCCAGGCATTTATTTTTTCAAACTGAACTTGCGCATTCTTCCCTATGACATTGACATTCTTTGCTGTAGCTGTTGCTATGAGAGGGTGGGCTTAGATATGGGTAACTGAAGTTGGAGGCTAGAAAGTGCGGGCTTCTCTCACCCTCTTCCCAGTCCCTGCATTAAGCGGTTAGTGCCGATCACTGCTGCAGGCAGTGCTCTAGATTAAAGGCTTCATTAACTCAAGTATATCACTCAAGTCACACGCGTCTGTTGTTCAAAGTGTGCTTTGTGCATTGAGATTATGGGTCCAGTTCAGAAGCCTGTACTTACACATAATTCCTCTGAATGGACAGAGATTCGTTTCTTCCGTTTTCTTTTCCTGTTCAAGTATCTATATCCAAAATACACTAAGTGTGATAGAAGAGCCAAAGTTATCTTTCACTGTGGGTAACTGCATAATACTAAAGAAATAATAATGCCAGCGAAATTAGACTCTTAGAAAAAGACGGCATCTGGAACCCGACTTCTGCTTGCATGTGGGAACTCTTGAACAGCAAAAGGATTATTATTTATATAACTCCCTTCCTTCCCAGAGGCCTAAGTGACTATTATATTAGTACCTAATTTTCCTACTGTCCCTTGTGTCACACAATGCCCAATAGATTTGTCGTTACAATAGAGATGTAGGTTTTGCTTACTGCAGCATGCCCAAAACAAAGGGGATTGTTATTGCTTCCTCTAGCCCGCCTGTGCCCTTCCTATATCCATTTCTTATACTGCCATAATCTAAAGAACATTTAAGCTAATGGCAGGTTTCTGTACGATAAGTATGTCAGTCTGGAGCATCCCTCCATGTAAAGCTGAATGTGAACAAGCATCCTGGTTCCATCCATGGAACTGTCTAGGAGATGATTACACACCACCAGAGCTGAAAGGTGGGCTGGGAGAGACCTGTCCTGGAAGATTTCAAGCATGCTGAGGTGGGAAGGATTTTAGATACCTGCGGAGAGCCTGGGGGCTCACACCGTAGACTCTGACCCAGAATTGCACAGGGCACAGCTCCTCTCTGGGTTAGTGCAACTTGTGTCTCATGTTAATTTGATGTTGCAGGCTGACTCTTGCATTGCAGATCTGACTGTTAATGAGGACGGGGGTTGTTTTGATTCACCTTGCTGTGAGCTTATGGAAACACCTTGTTTCTACCAGCAGGCTACACTTTCTCCCCAAAACTGATTTGTATAGATTACCCTAAAATATATACTTTCCCAGACTGAGAGGAGGACAAGCCATGTTACTGAATTCGCCTTGGGACTTTCGTGAAGTTTGAATGGTGAGGTTCTATTTTTTGCCCCTCTTGAGACACCATCTTTGGAGACAGATAATGGGGCCAGTTGGCATCAAGCATTAGATTTCTGATTATGTATCAAAATGAGTGCATTTCTGCTAGTGGCAAGTAGTCTCTGATTGAATTGTTGCTTGAGATTGAGGCTAAGTTTGAAGTTAAGCAAGCTGCATATTTTTCAGCACATACTAAACACATGGGGCAGATCCTCACCCTTATGTGAGTCATTTTGTCTCCCATGGCTTCAGCAGAACAGTGCGAGCTGTGAGAGCCTGTGACATACCTGGCTGCTGTATCCCTATTTGCTTTTGTTTTATGGCATAAATCAGAGCCAGCCAGGGTGCTTGGATAGCAGTGCTGACTTGTGCTCCGTTGCAAGAGAAACTAAGCAAGTTGCATGGCTTTTCCCTGAAACCCTGATTGATAGAAAAGGAGTGTGATGACAAGTTTATCACTTAATTGATGTTTGCGAAGTTTCCACTTGGCTAAAGTCCCATGCATCTGTGGGCTTGTACCCTCAATAAAGGGCATAACCCTGGTAATCATCTGCATGCTCATTTGTGAGCATGGGGCGCATTTGTATATGCAGCCTGATTGCAGCAGGGGTTTTGCAAGTGAAACCCGTGATATATTAGTGTAAATCCTGGGTGTGCGTGGATTAGTGTTTGCACAGGTTAATGTTTGCACCTGCCCACCCCACATCTGTTGAGATTGGCTGGTAGAGTCTAGTTTATCTTCATGCAATTTGTGCCTGATACTGAGTTACCCAGGTCACTACATCTTGGCACAAGAATAGATATTGGAAATAAAATCCGTGACTCCACTGTCCTACTTTGACCTTGCCTCCTCCTATCTTTTAAAGCATATTGGTTCCATGATAACATGAGGAGGGCTGCTGCTTTTTTTATAAGGTACCAGAGTGGCATCTCTCTAAATACACATCTTTATTGGAGTACATTGTTATTTTCCCCTCTAAATTTCTTTAAGCTTGTGTTTCACAAACTTTCAGCCTGCAGGACATGATATGCAGGTAGAGCATTTCATTCAGCTTTCCATTAGGCACAAGACAAGCTGAGCTGCTCCTCCTGGGTTTCCTAGCACAGCCCTGCCTGCTTTTGCCAGGTTTTGGTGATATTATTGCAGCCCTTTGCAAAGATTTGTACAGGGAAAGTCTTGCATAGAGCTGCCAGCTTTCCCAGTCACTAGAAGTTGCTTTCCCCTCCTCTCTCTCTTCTGCCTTCCTGTTGCTTTTGCGAAAACCTCACCTGCCAGGTGTCTATGAATCTGGTGTGTGGCCAGAAAGGTGAGCCACAAAAGTGCTTTTTGGGTGCTGGAGGCGGTTTCACCCTTGGTATGTCTTTGGGAATGGCTGGTAGGACTAGTACAGCCTGGCATGTGCCACTTGCCTTCTCTGCTACACTAACGGCTCTTAAACTATTATTGGTTATTGTAAGGGGCTGTGACAGCACCAATGCCTGCTTCATTTAGACCTGCATAGCCCACAGATTGCTGGTATAATGAGGTCTTCTCTACTGAAGAAATTGCTTTTGATGGAATGCCTCCTTTTCCTCCCAAATACCAATCCGTACTGACAAAGCAGCCTGTGGCAGGGTAAAGCTTTGCTAAGTGCCAATTTCCCCTGAGCACCCAATCTTCCACACATCCCCTCAGCGACAGGCTGTTGGAGGCCCTCCAACAAATACATAAATGTTAAGGTGAGTTGTGGGGTGCAAATAAGGCTGGAAATGGGAGAGTGAAGGCAAAAGCTGGATTTCAGCTCTGGGGACAAATTACTCAGTGTGCAGAACCTTTGCTGCTGTTAAGTAGAGGCTCAGCCTGCCCTTGGTGCTTACAAGGAAAGAACTGACAGTTCTCCCTGGGGTATTTTATTTTGGGTCTGCACTCATCTCAAGAGAGGCCCCAGTCTTTCCACACAGCTTGTGGGGCAGATGTCAGTGCATGGCACTTGTGTGTGGCACTTGTCTGTGGCAACGAGTCTCGCAAGAGGATGCTGCTTTCTGCTGTGACCCTGTGCCCCACAGCCAGCACGCTGGGCTTACCCAGCCCCTCCAAGGTAATGCTTAGAGCAATATAAAATCTACCACTACTTTTCCTGGGTAAAAGAAATCTGCATTCTCTTTCACAGAAGAGTGTGATATAAATAATGACAAGTCTCCTGAGAACATGTACTTGTAGCCTGGAAACCATCCCCAGGATGAGTTGCGGAGACTTTTCCATAAGCAGTAGAAATTTTTTATCTGGATTTTAGTGTGACAAGCCAAATAACTGCCCCTTTCCATGGCGAGAGGAATTGCCTGGGACAGCTACCAACTGTGCATCCCAGGGTGCTGGCTGGCTCCTGAAGCTCCCTGTGGCTTCACAGCATCCCCCTGAGGTCCTGGGCAGTGCTAGGAGATGCAGCCCCACCTGACCTCACTCACCTAGGAAGGATGCATGCCCTTGTGGTGGCAGCACTGCAGCTCTGTTGAGCAAAGTGAAAAGACAGATCCATTGTGGTACTGGTTTTTAAACATCTGTAAGGGGTTCTTTTGTGAGTGTTACAGCAAAGGAAATGTTCAGAGAGGTTTGCTTTCTGCTACACAAAAAGGAAGATTGGGAATCCCAGGAGGGAAAGGCAATCTTTGCTCTGAGAAAAGATGCTGGCAGGCAAATGCTATCTTTTTTGCTTTCATTTCTGAGAGCTAGTGACTGCCCTGGAAGCATTTGTCTGTGACAGTTCCTTCGGCCCTGCAGAGACATTTGAATTCTTGACTGGTTTAACATCGTTGGTCATTGGCGATGGTACATTGCCGACTGCACCCAGAAGGCAATTTCCAAAACTGCTGACAGCTATAGGATTGCTACAGATGTGGAGTCAATTATTACCACTGCAGGTTCAAAAAAGGTTTTTAAAATAGCCCTGCTTGTGGTCCTGTGCCAGTGTGATAGACAGGACAGATGATGCTTAGTAATGAAAAAAAGCAAAAACCTATCCTAGAAAATCCCCTCCAGAAATTTACTCCCATACAAGAGGTGATAGGGTTCTGGGAGTAGATGGCAGCACGGCTAAGGTAAAGCACTGGGTAGCACAGACTTCTCTTGAGCAGTGTCTTCAGCTCAGGCCAGGCAGCAGTCTGTGGTGGAGAGACCACACTCAGAGATTAAACAGCAGGAAAGAGACCTTCGCAAGAGCCGCGTCTGCAATCTGGCATTGCTGGCACTCCCACCACACCATGAGCCTTGCTCACGTGCTCCCCAGCTGGCTCGGTACAAAACGTCCCGTTCTCGACGCTTGCCTGCGGCCGCTGAGCTGGGTGGCCGTGCAGTGTCCCCCCTGTGCCCAGGCGTGCTGCCGCGCTGCAGGGACTCGGGCTGTGGTTTTCTCTGGGAGAGGCTGCTGCCAGGCGGCTGCGGGGAAACTGCCGCTCCAAATTCCCTTACTTCTTTCCACATCTGGGGGGAAGACGCTCGTCTGGAAGATTTTAACCTCGGTGCTGATAGGTTTTCATCTCCCCTGTGGTTAATCCAGAGATTAGGCTGAATGTGACTGCAAGTCAGGCAGAATTTTGGCTTGGAAATGAAACTTTCTGTCGCAGTTCTCGTTTCTGCATGCAGCTGTGTGTGAAGCAGCCCAGCCCTGCACAGGGCCCTTGTTAGATGCCAGTTTGATTAATCCTCACCCACTGCCTGCTCCCCCTTGCCTCCACCAAAGGGTGATTTTTCTGATGCCAAGAACTTGTGCAGCAATATATCTGAGTTCACCACCCAAGGACTGTGAGCGCCCGTGCCAAATTTTTAATTGTATTTTTCTGGCAAAGAGTCACAGCTTGGTCTTAAGAAAAAGAAGTCAAGTATTTCTAGCTCTCAACTCTGTGTCAGTCTCTTGTGGAGCAAAGCTGTGAAGTGTGGCTGGAGCTTACTTCGCTTAACTGGAGAAAGGAAGAGAGTAGCCAGGCTGTTGGGGTAGAGGGAGGGATGAGGGAAGCCAACAAACCAGCCCTATTTTGCAGAAGGAGTTGAAGAGAATGGAGGTGAAATAGGTGCTTTGGACCCACTGCTCCTGCCACATGTGGCTGAGCTTGGAGGATGGTCCTTTTGCAGGTGGGAAGTGTTCAGGCCAAGCTCTGTTACTTCTGACTTGTGCTGAATGATGGAGGCTCTCTTGTCAGACAGAACTGGGATTTTTTGACCACTCAGGGACAGGTCTGACTGGATACCTGAGCATGAGCCGAGTTTCACTGCACTACCCTTGCTGGAGAACTGGAGGCCCTGAGTTGCGCTGGGGGGTGCCAGTAGCTGCAATAAAGTAAGTACCACAAGGCCTGGCAAGACTCATTGCATGGCATAATGGGGACAGAGGATTATCAGCACGCACATTCTCCCAAAGGCAAGTCATGTACCGTCCTCTGGGTGATTTATTAACTGTTTTACAAGCCTGTTTTAGATGAAGCCTCTATGGTCTTGTCTCCGCTTGAGGGGAGGAGGGTTTATCTATCACCCTGAATTCCCTAAAGCATGTGGAGCCTGTTTGGGAGCCACCTGCCTTGGATGCCTGGTCCATGGTACCTCCAACACAAACATAAACCCTCTTATTAATTGCACAAATATGTTGCACCAACACAGTATTTCAGGCAGGTTGATTGGCTGGTTCAGTAACTTCACCACCCTCCATAAACAAGCACTTTTTCTCAGAATTTTATTAGGGAACAACTTGGGGCATGCATGAGCCAGTGCCTTCCTTGACAAAAGGCATTCGGTTACCCCCCAAGAGCATGTTTGCTCCTGCAGGAGAGCAGAGTTGGAGGTGAAGTGCTTTGCACTCACCTACGCTCGCCAGAGTGTACCAGTTAGGACTCTCCCAGCCAGCCCTAATGTTTCAGCAACCCTGTGGAGTGAAAAGCACTAGCTGGCTGGTCCCTTTACATCTCATCTGTCTCCTCCTCTCCCACCTCTGCAAGCCACCCAGGAGGGATGGAGAGCTAAGCGGCCAAAGTGGCCGCTGGGGCCTTTGCTCTGTGCCCAGGCAGGGGCCCATGCCAGGGCTGGTCTTTGTGATGGCCCCTGCATCCACCAAGGATAGGGAAGATGTAAATGGTGAACTGGAGTACCAAACAGCAGAATCCTCCCTATTACACACACATCGGTCCCCCTGCTTAAAATTTCCCTCTTTTATATCAGTTTCAGTGTGTACACATTCAGAAGGCTTGATGTTGCACCATCTGAGCAAAGGTGGGAACTTGCAGGCAAACCCAGGAGGATGATGGCTTTGCAGTCAGCTCATGCAGGTTCATGGCCAGGAATTGGCCAGCATTGCTATGTTCCTCCTTCATTCAGCAAAAGCTGGTGGGTCATTGAATTTGGGGGAAAATCAGCTGCCTCTGGCTAGGATATGTGCACACACGGGCTTCTTATGGTCTACTCATTTTGGTTAAGGACAAAGATGGGTGTTCCGTAGGCTCAACCTAATGGGGAATTGTGTTGGTTTCCTGTTGTTCTGTAGATGAGAGCCTGTTGCACATACATATACTTTATCCTAACTTTGGTCCATCCCCAGGCTGAAGCAGCTCTCCCTCTGTGACTCAGACTGCACAGAGGATCATCAGTGCCTTGTGAAGAGCCACATATTCTGGGGAATGAGAAACACAAGCTTTGGGCTTGCAGTGGCAGCATAATACATGGCAACAAAAGCCACAAAAATATTTATCGGCGCACAACTGGGGGTAAGAGCTATTGTCACGGTAGGGCAGAACGAAGGCAGGATCCACGATGTAAGATGCCAAAAGCCAGAAGAAAGAGCGGAGCCATGGGTACACAGAATGGTACTTTGCCAGCCAAGGTCACTAGGAGGGATGGGTGGAGGACAGCGGCCCAGCTTTTTTTGGCCAGTACACACAGTCAAGCTCAAGTGTTGCTCAGTGGAATAGCTAGGGTATTATTTTTAAAACACTTTTCCTGGAAAGCAGCATTTTACAGCCCAGTGGGCGTGTGCCATATCCCCACAGCAGGTTGGCACACAGCTGGTGTCTGGAAGAGGCTATATACTCATTTTCTGTGCAGGCTGATTTAGGGGACTTGTGGAGAGAAGAGCATTATTTGATATTCCACATTGTTTCCTGGGACCAGTGCGAGGCTTAGGGACAGTGAACTTTGTCCAACTTCAGCATTTCAAAGCAACAAGCTTCTGACATTCCTCTATACCTCAGGCGCAAGGTGTCTCCCTCCTGGTGGCAGCTGGATTTTCTTCATCCCACTTGTAATGTTGATACAGACAACTGACTCTAAAATGTTAAAGAAAATCAGAGCACTGTCTTACAAATGTAGCCATTTCTCTGTGGATGCAGCTTATTCTGGGGCAGAGGAGCCAGCTTTACATTTTTTGGCTCAGTTATGTGCCTGCAGCAGTCGGAACTGGCTGACTGTGCTGCTGAGGAGCAGCATAGATGTTCCCCAGGTCATACTCCGTAGTGAATATTGTTTTATACAGACATGAATCATGAGCATCTCCTAGTGCTGTGTAGTGAGGAGGTGCAAGAAGAGATCATCCAGCAGAGATCTGTGGGTTCTTGGGGTGTAACAAACAACTAATTTGCCAGTATAGCTTAGGACCTGTTGTATGAAGCTTTTGGTCATCTTTGTGTGCTACATCTTGTATTTTGCACATTGGGAACTTTCTGTTAGTCCTTATTACTCAGAGTTAGTTCTTCAAGACTCGGTCTCTCAAGACTGTCCTCTCAAAACATCTTGCACCACCAACAAATCACAGCATGGTTGCAATACTTGTGTGATAGTGTCATCTGTTCACTGTTGAACAACAGCAACAAGGAAATGAGCAATATTTCAAATTGGAGCAGAATGAGAACAGACAAAACAAGAAGGGATACTGTAAACCTATGAATCTGTAGCAGGGAGGTGGATATCCATGCCCTGAGCCTCCAGGGCGCTGCATGTGCCAATACCGTGTTCTGTTCGAAGATCACAGAAAGGTTGAGGTTGGAAGGGACCTCTGGAGATTTGGTCCAAAATTTCTTGGTGAGAGCCAGGACACAACTTGCTTCTAGTCTGCCTAAGTCTTGGAGGGTTTCATTGGATTTAGTTGGATACAGGTAATTTAAGAAACAATACTTTCACTGTAATTCCAGTTACAGACATGGTGCCTTTACAGCAATTTGAACTAGTTTTCAAAGGCTCTAAGTAACTTAGTAGTATAGTGGTGGAGAAAATGTCCAAAATTATGCTCAGTTTACAAAAATGTGGAAATACTGCCTTGTCATTGTATTCAAGATGTTTTTGGTTGTGCATTTCAGCACAGAGTAAATTAGCAGTGGCAGAAGAAAAGAAGTGGGAAGAAATATACAACAGAATTTGCAACAAAATGGAAAAACCCAGTTTAAAGCCATGACAATCATGTGCTTTAGCAAAAAGATCTTGCCATCTGCATGAAGTGTTTCCTTTTCAAACATCGTGGCACAGCCCCGTCTCATATTCCACCTCTGAGACACAGGTGCAAAGGAGATGGATGGTTTGATGCAATTTTTCCGTGCAGCCAAGAAATAATGTTCCCTTCCCTGAGGTACAGGCAAGTCCAGTCATGGATTATATGCTTGGATTTCCTCAGGCCACAGCCTCCACTCATGCTAGTACACAGTTTCCCAATACCAGCCTTGACTTGTCCTCCAGGTGGCAAGTTGCCCCATCACCTCTTCCCAAGCCTCAACCACATGTCCAAACAGAGGGCAATCCCCCAGCCTCACCCTATGGTTGCCTCCATTTTTCGTAGGAGATTTCTTCCAAGTCTTTCCAGTGCCACGCCATCCCAGCAAGATGTCCTGCCCAGCCCTGAACTGCGCAGGTACCTCTGTCTTAGCAAGTGGTGTCCCTTATGGGGCACTCATTTTGGTCAAAGCCATAACAGGAGCTCCACTGAGCTGCAGCATTCAGTAATGGGCAAGGGTGTGTTTGGAAAGCACTCATTTTAGGTATACTTGTAGAAAAAGTTTAAAGGAATAAAGTGTTAATGATGAGAAGCCCGTAGTCCTTCTAGATATAGAGGTTATTCTTATATGAGGACTCCATAACACTGTAAATTCCAGGGTTATGGGTGAGTAACTGAGACTGGAATCTGACTTCTTATGCCTTAAAAATTCTTTAATTATTAGGGTGGAAATAATGCTGGCTGGGCTTGGAAAATTCACGTTCAAATATTAAGAAATGGTAATTTTAAGATTACCAAGCAAACATAATCTTTCTGCACAAGTGCCTATCTCATATTCAGTAAGGCAAGGTTCCTGGGGAAAATGACAAGTGTAATTAAAACCTGTCTCATCATGCATGCACACAGGGGAGGGCAAGCTGTGACTGTAATGGTAACTGCTCCTAGCAGGTGTTTTTCTTTTAATATGAGGTATTAAATAAAACTTCCTGTGTTTATTAACCCAGATACTCTCCTGTATGCTTCTAACAGTGCCTCTGTGATGCGTTGCAAGCAAGGCTGAACTTGAGCTATATCTTTCAGCATAACTTTTGTCTTCAGAGGTACAAAGCCACCTACCTTAGCTGAGACTGTGACAAGCAACTGGAGCACTGTTGATGCTGCGAATTCTTTTCCACTTTGTAGCTCTGGAGGTTGTTAGTTTTCCACGCTGAAGATCTCAGGCTTGTTGCGGCATGGTGGGGATCCTCCACAACTGGTGTGGAAGAGGAAACCCTTCCAGAAGTGCTGTCATCTGTTGCCTGCAACTGTGAGAGGATGAATGTGATCAACTAAATTTTTAATAAAAAAGAGTCAGAAAGGGAGGAGACAGAGCTGGAGCTGGGCAATGGCTTTGGATAGTCTGAGCCTGATGTGTCACTTCAGAAGGGCAAGGTGCTGGGTCTGAAGGAGGGTGAAGTTTGGCTGCACTCTTCCACCTAAGATACTTGATAGTTTCCAGGCATCCCTGGTGCTATAAAACTATGTGGGCTTTTATGACTTTTATTTCAAGTTCATTTGTTATTGGCTGCTAGAATTCTCCCAAGGAATATAGACAAGAAGTGGTAAATGGTGATTAATTTAGACAGCCTAAGTAGAGGACTCATGACAGGCTCCCTATGTAATACAAGAAAGTTAACGGCTCGCTGATGTCCTTTTGTGAGCGAATTGTGTAGCCTGGTTGTTTAATGGAGTGTTTAAAAATTGTGTTGGCAATAGCCTATGAATAATGTATACAAGAATAATGAAATACCTTACTGGTAAGAAAGTGCTGATATGCTGGGGAAATTTCCATCAGATGTGGGAACAATTTTGAAAGCACTGTCTTCTTGGGATGCCCTTTATTTATGGTCTTGCTGCTTCAGAGATTGCATTCCCTTTTTAGACACTGCATGCGAAGATGCCCTCCACTGCCTCTGGCTTCACCTGACTCCCTTTGCTTGTGTCTATAAAAGTGCCTGTACTTTGATGAGTTTAGGTTTTATTAACTGAGCACTGTAAGCCCGGAGATATTCGGTCTTCAGCTGTTCTAGGTATCTGCACCAAGGCACATTGCATCAAAGGAAGACACACACTGGTTTTGTGTGATGGCAATGTCCTGTGATGCAGGAAACAGAAATAGGGCCGAGTGATTTGGAAAAAAACCTCAATGTTTCTTTTGCAGGTTTTTGAAGCATGGGCTCCTTGCATGAGATAAGCAACCCCAGAATGTCATACATGGATGTTCAGATTTTGATGGACTTTGCAGTGTGAACCCAGCTCCAATGCCTCTAATTTTCCCCTCTGTCCTCCTCCAGTGCATAAGGCCTGTGTGTGCTTTGGCCATGGGTAGTGGGAAGTTGTTGTGATACTGAGCAACTAAATGTTGCTTGACCAAAGAAATGAGAAGACTGAGAGTGAACCCCTGCTTTCAGAGGAGCTCTGGAAGTTGTGCTGACCTAGCTGCAGGAGAAGACAGGTCCCCTAAAAGACCCCAGGACATAGCTCAGGCAGGCGTGTGAAACAGTCAGTCTTTTCCTTTACTGCTTGTTTTGACCCTCAGCTGCACTCCAGGAGAAAACAAAAACATAGTTTTTTTTCTCATACAGGGTTGTCCCCACCTGCACTAAAATTCAGAAGTCTCCAGAGGAGGGCAGGTGAAGACTATATGTATCTTATCACTGTCCAGAGTGGTCTCAGCTAAGTGTGTATTAAGAGCAGGCCCAGCTTGTGGAGTCTGTAGCTCTGTGCCCTGCCTCTGCTGGGGCTTTGTTATGAGTCGCCTAGTGCTCATGCTGCATTTTTGTGTCTGGATTTACACAGTAAAGCCCTGAGTCAAAACATTTCATGCAATATGGGAAGTGTATTATTAGTCTAATGCTAGAACAAAGCAACACGTGATTGATGTTGATGTTAGTCAGCTGAGGAAATTACACCCTCACCTGTGAGGCTGATGTGATGGGTTTTGGAGTCATGTGGTGATGGCCAACAGCAAGCTCCAGGCATGAGGCTACCTGGCAGGAGAGAGAATGGGTTAGAAGAGAGGTTATATCCTTAGGGTGATCTGCAGCTGGCTAAAATAAGAGTTTGTTTGCTGCTGGGATATTCCTGGGGAGTGCAGGAAAGGAGGTGTATAAAAGGGATTAGTCTAAACATAAGACAGCTGGCGAGAGCCTTCAGAGGAGTCTGACTGATGGCATAATTGTTTTCAGTAGAACATATAAAGAGAAAATGTATCTAATACTTCCTCCACCTCCACCGCCCAAAACCTCTCCTGCTAGCCAAGAAGGTTTTTCAGCAGAGAGGGTCACAAAGGTCTAGGCTGATGATCATGATCAAGTTCAACCAGCCTTTCTCAGGGTAGAAATGCTGCTAGCTGACAGTATGCATGAAAGAGCAGCTTTCAAAAGGAAGGAGACAGTGCTGTTATCCAGTTTATTCCACTGATGCTTCTGATGATCATATTAATTTATCTTTTTTTTTAATGTTTGTTTCTTTTAGGTGAAGAGTGAAGGCCCCAAACTGGTGCCCTTCTTTAAAGCCACTTGTGTCTATTTTGTCCTCTGGCTGCCAACTTCCAGCCCCTCCTGGTTCAGTGCCCTCATCAAATGTCTGCCCATCTTCTGCCTGTGGGTATTCCTTCTGGCTCATGGAATTAACTTCTTAGTGTCACACCGGAGCGCCAGCCGCATCCTAGCGGGACTCATATTCTCGGCAGTGGGAGACGCCTTTCTCATCTGGCAGGAACAGGGATACTTCATTCATGGTGAGTGTGGTGTCAGTCCTAAAGGGATGCCATAGTGTCCAGCTGTTACCCTCTTTATTTAGTAATGAGTTGCTGGGCCACATGTTTTGTTTATTCATGTACAGCTTAAGCCCTCGGGTAGTGGGAAACACTCATCCCTTGACTAAAATCCATCATGGTTAGAAGTCACCACAGAAATCACACCATGGATGAGTCCTTCTCTTGAGCTTCTCTTGAGGTTAGATGGGGCAGATTTGGTTTCCTGGCACGTGGTCACAACATCTCAGCTGGTTGGGGCTGGGAAGGTGGCAGGGGCAGAATCCCTCGGGGAGAAATGCTCATGGCACTTGGCAGCTCCCATGAAGCTACAGGAAGAATCTACCTCCTATCTCTCCGCAGGGAGATCTGTCAATCCTTTGCTACAAGGATCAGAAATAGGACACATGGTGCAAAGGCCCTCAGTGAAAAACAGGTGGAGAGGACCCTTATGTTTTGACAGACAAGGCTGTAGCCTGGGGGAGGTGTTTAAGTGGATGCTAGAAACCAAAGCATCAGGAATCTTGTCCTAATTGCAGGTTCATCAGTATGAATCATGCAGCCTGTTGTACAAGACATGTCTGTTTTGCAAGACCTGTAAATTATGGTGAATCAAGGACAAACCTTACCACAATGGCCTGTCTTTTCTACAACAAGATCCACATCTCTCAGAGCAAAACAAGCTTGTTTTATTTTGTGAGCTTGCAGACTAGAACATAATGGTTTAGATTAATAATTTAAAACCATGTTGAACCTGCCTGCAGCGACACTCTCCCTGGCCTCGGCCTGTCACAAGAAATCAGCAGCAGTTGAGTCTTTCACTAAACTGACTGGTGGAGTTTCCAAAGTTAATTTAACCGGCACAGGGATCTCACTTAACACCCACCATTAACTGGCTGCTGAGACTGTCCCACTGGAAAACGTGATGAGATGAGGGAACTTTTCTGAGTTGTGCTGTTGTCGGCTCTGAAAGTCAAAGGCTTATTTTTTGCCCCTCTCATGAGGTCAGTATTTAGATTTATTCTAGGATTCCCACCAGCTTTTTCTTTATGAGAGGGAAGTGTGTGCAATGCCAGATATGAAAGGCCAAATACTCTGAATCTAGTTTTAATCCTGCTTCCCAAGGGTTTATCCCAATCTCATTAAAAGTTCATGTAAAAATATTTACTGGTTTTGGTGGGGTTTAGATTAGGCCCTGAGGATTGGATCTATCTGGCTAAACCTTGGGCATATTGCTGAGGAGCTTCAGCCTTCTCTTGGGGTGCCATCGCCTCTGTGCTGAGTGTTGGCATTCCCACCAACGGACCTCCTCCTAACAGGGGTACCCACCTCAGCGTAGGTCGCCTCAGCCCCACTGCTTGTGTTTCTGTTTTGCCTCCTGGAGTTGCTCCTTGAGCTGTGGCTTGGAAAACATTCAAGGCCTGATTCTCACCATGACTGTTTTTGTACATGGACTGTTCTGAGCTTCTCCATTCCCATGTAGCTGGGATATCTCCCAGTTTGCTCTTCAACCGAGCACTAGAGACGGGTCAACCAGTCACAGCAACTCAGTGTCTGGTTAATGTGTTTTAATCTGCAAATAAGTTGCATTTTCAACCCTAGTCTCACAATTAGCATTGTGAGAAGTGCTGCTTTGTGGGTTTAGACACATTTTTCTTCTTAAGGAGAAGAAAAGCTCTCTTGGAGCATTTTGAAAATCTCAGCCTTCATCCTGGCTGTCTTCTGCCTGCCTTGGTCCATGCCTACCATCTTCCATAGTGAGGTGTTAACATTTGTGTTTCAGTTATTGTTATTTGTTAGCAAATAAAGTGTACCACCACACTTCATCCTTCACCTCTCCTGCAAAATGTATTTTCTCCTATTTAAAACTTAGCAGGCTGCTGTTGTTGACAACTGACAATATTCAACCTTTTGACATCATTGTTTGTGGGAATTTAAAATTTCAGGAGAATAAGAGGAAATACTAGATAAAAACGTACTTTCTGTTCAATTTCTTTGTCTTTCAGGCTGAAAAAAAAGGGTTGGGAACTGATCTGATTTGAATAGCTTTTGAGACAATGAGTTTATAAAAGGACATTTGTTCATTACTTTATAGGGAAGTGAGAGCCTGGGAACCTACTGCTGGCACACTTGACTTTTTTTCATTTTTGCTGTTTCTATTTTGCTGCTCCACTAATAATACACTAACTTCTGTCTAGTGTCTTACTGCATGTAGAAGATCCTTTAGGCACTTAGAAACAATTTATGCATTTGGTGAAGAAGACAGGGACTAACAAAAATGATTTACTGCCACCCTGAGGGGAAACTCCAGGGGCATGGAGGGGGAAGGAAGTGAACAGAGAAGGGCTGATCTGCCTGATGCGGTTGTGAGGGTTGAGCCAAAGGCTGAGAAATGCAAAAGAAATGCAAGAGAAATGCACCCCCCTCCCCATGCGGCCATCACAGGTTTCCCCAGTTCCTGGTTTGATTTGTAGGCATTGAACAAGCAAACCTGGGAGCTGACTCTCTTCTTGGTGACCAGCCTCACCACGTATCACAAAACTCCTCCTGCCTTACTGGGCTTCTGTTTGGCTGCCATATCTTCTCCTCCTCGTTTCCAGCTGCCTGCATGAAGGACAACACATTCTTCAGTTCCCCATCCCAGAACTATCCCTATAATGCCATTGAAGGAAAAAACACTCCTCACTGCTAGGGCGAAGTAACCACCTTCTCCTTACTGCCCCGCAGGCTCTAACCTTTCCTGCACTATAACACTATGAACAGCTCTCATCCGAAATCCCTCCTCAGTTTCCTCAGTGCTTTGCCCAATGATAGCTCTGTGAAATACCAACTTCTCGTTTCCTTTATTCGCAAGTCTCTTTCTTCCCCTTCACACTGACCATTTTCTTCAGCTTCACCCTGCAGACCAGATCCCCACTAGCCCCCTCCCTCCTGTGGGGCACCCACCATGGCTGAGCTTTCAGTAGATGTCCAGTCTGGTCCTCTTCAAAGGCAGGGAGACCCTTATTTGAGCTGCCCCAACACAAGAGTATTAGGATGAAGAAATGTTTGCCAGCAGCAGGTTTTAGTGACTGTCCTTTATACCACAGCATCACGCTTTACATGTAAAATAGTGTCCTGCTAGAGGACTCAGCTTCCCAGATCCTTTTCTCCATTTCACGCTTTTGAGCTGCATGAAAACTTCCAGCTACTCTAATAACCTTGCCAAGATAAAGTGGGACAGCCTGCAGCTGCACCATGTGTGGATCTGGGAACCAGAGAACCAGAGGAACTGGACTCAGTTTGGGGCCCATTATCTACAATTGGCACGACAACTAGTAGTCAGCAGCTGTACCAACACATTGTGACATTTTTTTGTCAAATGGATTACTGGCAAGTGAATAACATATGGGCAGTACCTTCCAACACCCACATCTGGCATTTCTCAGGGGTGTTGCGCTTCAAAGGGAAGCCGGCATTTTATTTTCACTGATTGATTCCAGCTAAGGTTCATCTGAATCCTGCAATTAGCCATAAAATTGTTGGCACATCACATTGGTGCAGTCCCTGAAATATGCCAGCTGCTTCTTTACAGTTTAGGTTTCTCCTAGCTATGGGCAGAGATGGAGTAGAAGCCAGATTTAGTCCCCAAGTGCCGTTGGGTTTCTGGCTAAATACGGTCAGGCTTTATGTCTGGGCTCAGAGGGATCGGTATCTTTTTTGACATTTTGTTTCTACACTGCTGTGATTCCAGTCTTCCTGTTCCTCACGTGACCTATGAGCAAAACACTTTGGATAGTTAGAAGGGATGATCTTTGGTCTGCCTTGCCCCCACCCTTCTGTCTAAAGCAGGGAAGGAGGAACCACCTGAAAAACAAGCTGTGTTCCCTCTGCAGCAGCTTAGTTCACCGGGCCCCTCAGCAGAAAGGCTTGCATCACAACAGAGTTGTACTGGGCTGCAGATGTGCTGGGGCTTTTTCTTGGGGCAGGAACTTGGTGCTAAGGCTGATCTCCTATGCACAGATTTCCATATTAAAATGGTCCCAGGTGATGAGTATGGTTACCACTGAAAGCGTTAAGGGTTGTAACAGTGTAAGGACATCTAAGCCTGTACTTGTTGTGGTATATTTAAAACCCAGTTTAGCCATGTGTTTTCTTCTGCTACCAGCTGCCAGTCACTCATGAAAGGTCACACTTGTTATGTCAATGCCTCTTTCCAGGTCTGCTGATGTTTGCCATCACACACATCCTGTACTCTTCAGCCTTCGGCATGAAGCCTTTGGACCTCAAAGCTGGCTTGTTGATGGGCCTTGTTTCCAGTTCCTGTTATGCCTTCCTGTACTCCTACCTCTCGGGCCCATTCACCTACCTGGTAGCTGTCTACATCGCCTTGATTGGCTTCATGGGCTGGCGAGCAGTGGCTGGTGTGCAGCTGTGCAACGACCTCTGGACATGGACCAAGCTCTCGGCCTGCATTGGTGCGATGCTGTTCATGGTGTCGGATCTGACCATTGCACTTAACGAGTTCTGCTTTCCTGTGCCCTACTCGCGCTTCATCATCATGGCTACTTACTATGCAGCCCAAATGCTTATTGCACTGTCAGCTGTAGAGAGCAGAGATGAAGAGGACTCCAGAAAGAGGAGCTAGGTGGAGTGCCAATAGTCTGTGAACAATGTGGATTATATCTCAGGTGCTGTAGCTGCATTCACCCCTGAGAGAGATCTCCATTTCTCTAGGCACATTGGTGATGTTGATTTTGCTTCTTTGAAGCATTACCTTTGGGGCTTTTTTTTCAATGGCTTTCTCTGAATACAGCTTACTTCACTGTGGAGTCCACATCAGAAAGCTTAGACTGTCCCTGCAGTAGCTACTCATTCACGTTTTCCTCCTTGGAAGTGCTGTACTACTGCATTTCACTTGTTAGTCTTGAAACTGATGCTGAATGTCTGGGAAGAGGAAGGCTGATGGAAAGGAAGTTTGGCCATGCACTGTGTTAGAAGACTTGCTTTCAAAAGTAGGCAGACAGGCACAGATATCTGCTAAAGTCATAGGTAAAAATGAATTTAACCCATGTTTATCTCTTTTTGTGCATTACAAACTTAGTACACTAATTGGAGCTATTGCCTCTGCTGAAAGGATGCCTGAAGATAGAGTAAACACAGCAAATCCAGATGAGGGCTGAGATTTGGAGTCAGCAACAGCATGTGGGGCAGCCCCGAGCAGAACCAGAATGAACGCAAAACACCAAGCACAGTGTAAGAGGTGCTGACATGCAGAGCTGTGTGCTTTGATCGCGGCTGATCACTACTCCAGGGCAGGTCTATAAGTGCCTGCATGTGGCAGAACTAGGAGTTTGGTGGGATTTCAGGGACACGTAGGTAGCCAGGCCAGTGCATTCTCCCCTGCCATTTGTGCGCAGTTACATGGTGTCTGCAGCCACCAGCGACAGCTGACATGTAATGGGCACGTGAGGAACTTTGATTTTTACAGCAGGACTTTGAGCATGTGTCTTACCAATGTACGTCCCAGTCCAGTACAGCAGACAGGAGTCTAATCATTATGCCTTTCTTCCTCAGTACCCTAGCAAATAATATATTATTTACTCATTAACCATTACAGTACTGCTGCTTGCAGTATCTCTGAAATCTTTGTGTGAGCATTTCCTGTTGTCAAGACCATTTTGATGTTCTTGTGTTTTGCCAGCTGGTGGTAGACCATCGGCTTTGCACCACTTGTTTTTGGAAAGCTCCTTTTCAGCAGAGATTCCTGAAAATCATCGTCCTGTATACTTGAAGTGCCTGCCGCTTCCTTCTCGAACTCACATGGATGCAGTGAGAATGTGAGAGCCATCAGGGTTGGGAAAGCCTGCTTAATTCTGATCCAAATTCTTTGGTTGGTTTATCTGCCACTCTGCTGAAACAAGATTACTTCTGACTTCAGACACTCTTAAAAAGATATAGGTAGAAGTTGCCCTGATTTGTATCTAAGTTCATTTGTGATCATATGTATATTTTCCCCTCTTATTTAGGATATCTAACAGCAAGCTCTGTTTCTGTTTGAAACTATCTTGAATGTGCTTCTTCCTTCTGTCTGTCCTATGTCCGCTCCCATGAGCTGAGATGCTCCCCCAATGGCTTGTTTTAAGACATGAGTGCACTCAGGTGTCCAAAGGAAGCTCACTGAGGGTTTCTGCACCTCTTCAAACCTGCAGCCAAATGAGGACAACCAAAACAGACTGCACGACTCAAATCCACGTGTGCCCCAACAGCCCCTTGCACAGGCTCACAGGGGCAGAGCGAACAGTAGGGGCAGCCCTCCAGAACAGCCTTCTGGGCTGAAAATCACCACAGTCTCCATACCTAGCATGCCCAGACCATTCCAGGCGAAAGCCTGGCAACGAGTCCCTGGCACAGTCAGCAGAGAAGAAATTCTTCTTTGCGAGGAGAGCAGCAGGGTCAGGGGGCAGCTGAGGCTACCAACCCCACTAGCTTTTCCCTTGGTGTTGAGAGGTGTTAAGTGGGTCTCCTGCTCCTCCCCAGCCCTGTGGGGTGGGACAGAGTGTGGAATAGGCATTGCCTCCCCACAACTTCTGCATTAGTGCAAATGCAGCCAGTATTACGAAAATCTAGGTTAACCATCCTGACCCCATGGTGTCATCTGCTGCTTTTCAGACAGAGATCAGAAAGGTCAGCTGCATTATTGAGAGGGGAAGCATTGTAAATAGCACAGCCCCATGTAATCTCTTCCCTTTAATGCTGTTGTGTAATATTGTCAGCATCCATTCACTGGCACACCGGGGCCTGTCTGGAGTAAACTGCTGAGGGAAGTTAGAGCCGTAAAACATCTTCATTCATAAGCATTGCTTATCTCCTGGCCACAGCTTGAAGCTTGCAGTGTAGCCCTCTGCAGATGTCACCTGCTGTTACTCAGCTTGACTTTTTGCAAATGTCTTCCTACAACAGACTGACCCAGCTAAAAGGAAATCTAAGCATTTGGGGTGAACCTCATTGTCCTCCCAGCATGTCAGCAAACAGCATATTTCAGTCTGGTTTACATGTCCTTGTCATGGAGTCAGTCCAACACACTTGATCCTTAGTTGGCAGTTCTTCAGAGGAGCCCCTTGCACCCTGAGTTTTCCTTTGCTTTGAGGAAAATGCACGTGATAAAGTAACCTTTATTTAGACGTTAGAATTTTGATTATCTTTTTCTTCCCCTCTAGAAATGAGTAGTCTTCAATGTCCCGAAGATGGCCAAGTTGCTTTTCTGTGTGCGTTTTCATCGTGGCTTGCTTTGTTATCCTACTCCACCATCAGCCACTGGATATTTGTAGAAAAGGATCTTCTGAGTGGTATTAGGAGGCCTGCCCTTTCTTCTCCACTGGCCATCAGAGGTGCAGTTTCTAGTGGCAGAGGTCTCTGGATGGCTGTAGCTGTGACATCAGAAACACGTGCAGCCCACATGGGCTGTTGTTCACTTGCTGTCTCCTCACCTGGAGCAGGCTTGGATGGAAAGCATCCTGGCCGGCCATGCTGGCTCTATCTCAGTGCTGCAATGGCTTCAGCTTTCCCAGAACACGAGGCAGAACCCTCAGCATACAAAGTCAGGGAGAGTCCTGGCTGGCTAAGCGGTTTGCCGGTTGAGGCTCTCAATCTTCAAAATCTCTCTCCTCCTCTGCATTCCTCCTTTCAATCCATATTACTTGAATGAGACCATTTTCCTGGAGGCTCTTTCCTGCTGGGAAGAAACCAGCTGGGAATTTGACACAATTCTGAGTTTCATAAATGCTGAGAAATGTTAAGCAGTTGCTGACAGTCTGTTAAATATCTTTTCCTGGGGTTAAAACTGTTCCCTCAACCCCAGCGAGGGCAGTCTTCACTTTGAAAGGGAGCAAACAGGAAGTGGGAATTGCACAACTGTCTGAGGCACTGCCTTTGTGGACCTTCTTTTTGTCTCTTTTCACTGTAAAACTGTGGGGTTTGATCCATTCTTCTCCTTTTCAGGGGTACAGTCTTTGAGAAGAACCCAGTCTTTGGCCCAGGGACATTACCAAGAGAATGTAGTGTGCCTGGCCCCAGCAGCATCAGGTCCTTTGCTTGCTAAGTTCTGTTCACACTGCTGTATTCAAACACCCCTCTGCAATTCCCATCTATTGTCACTTGAGGTTACACACACGGTCCGATTACTTTTGCTCTCTTTCCTTTCTGTTGTTATCACCTTCTTGGAGATTCTTGGGCTCCTTATTTGGATGTATAAGCCATGTAGCACATCTGTTTCAGCCCTGTATTTCTTTCTGTAGATAGATCCTCCTCACACAGAACTCTCAATGAAGACAATGAAACAATGCTAATTGCAACTGGCTTTTAAATGCTAGTAATGCTTCTGGGTTCTGCTGGTCACACTGATGTCAGCAGGGTGAAGCTGCTGCAGAAATGGCGGGTTGAGAAGAACAAAGCCAGAGGATTATAACAGCTTTACTCCTGCTCTGCCAAGAAAATTGTATTCATGCTTAATACCTGGCTTCTTCTCCATACTGAGGCAACTGTAGACCAATTGGTTTAAGAATAACTCTAACATGGCTAGCTTCTAGATTGCTGAAGGTTTCATGTTATAATCAGTTGAGGTAATTGACATATTTTTACACAAGTACATAAAATTCCTAGGACAAAATTTGCAGAATTTTGTAGCAGCTCTTCAAAGTTTTCCAGTCCCATAGTTTGACACTAACACCTGTATGTTTTCAGCTTGCTATCATGGTAATTTTGGGACCTGTTCTGGAAAACGCAGATCAAAGCAAACAGCAACTGTAAAGCTCAGTGGCAGGTGCCTCTTTCTCTTAGCTTCATTTCTGGAAACAGACAGGGGCTCTTTTAAGCAGAGGCATCATAACTGTGTTCTTGGAAGAGGATGAGAAGTTGCTGACTTCTCATTACAGAAGTCCTTCTGGGTACTTCTCCTGCCTTTTATCCATGCTTGCTCCTTTTGTGGCCTTGGGTAAGTCACTTAAATTTTCTGGGGCCAAGTCCTTATCTGGTGTAAAAAGGCACAAGTGTCAGAGGGACAGTGCTATGCCAAATTATAACAGCAGCGGGCCAGGCCCTCACCCCCTTTCTAAAGAGGGGATGTTAGCACTTACCTACCTCACAATGATGCTGTGAGGATTAATGCTCATACAGCACTTTGAAGATGTAAAGTGCTATATAATTCCCAAGTATTATCCTACCTTAGTGTTAAAAATGCTTTTAGGGATCTGCAGGACTCCCCTTAAAGCGTGTGAATGTGTGACTGCCTTTTCAATTTGCATCAGATGGAAAGCAAATGCAAAATATTTATTCATACTGGTTAACAGGATGGGCTCAGCTACACCTGAACTCTGAAGAAGACTTAGCTTAGAAGTCTGAACTCTAATTTCAGTTTTGCAAATGGGTTTTAGTTCTTCTAAAAGCCTCAACCAAATTCTTCAATGTGAACCTTGCATCCAAATTTTGCAGTCTGACTGTTAGCTAGAATAAATCTAATCCAGCCAAAACAGTGCTGTCACAGTCTTGCTATGGCTGTTGAAAAGACTGGAAGAGAAAATGAAGGCATTCTGTTCAACCTTCATTCTGCAGAAGGTCAGCTAGGTTTCATGGGACAGCTTGCAAAGGGATCTTTAATTTCTGTGATTGTAAGTTTTACTGGCTTTAAAATCAGCAGAGAGGGAAAGCCTTGATGGAATCAATAAGGTTTGTCCATTCTTATTGAATTGCTTTGTTTTCACCTGAGTCAAAGAAATAGCAGGTTCTGTAGTGATGGAAGTACTTGTACCACTAGTCCTAGAGCCCAGAAAAGAAGTTGATCTAGAAATACAGCTCTAAATCATCACCATATTCTCAACTAGTGTAAAAATGTCACTGTTCACTGATTTAAAATCTGGACCACAGCTAGAAACGACTTAGTTCTGGTAGCACTAGCTGCTGCACAAACACAAATGAAGGCAAGGAATTACACACCAAGGAACGTGAACTGTGCACATGTGAAATGGACCATGATTTTGAAGCAGCTGCAGTAAAATCTTATCTTAATATGAACTCAAAAGCAAACACAATGCAAATTTTTGTGGTTTCTTTAAAATGTTTGATGGGTTTTTGTTTTCTTAGTTTGGAGGAAATTTTCTTAATGTTATTTTATTTTTGCTCTTATTATAAAGAATAAAAATATACAACTCTACATAGACTACAAATGAAAAAGGTGGCCAGTTGGCAGGATTGCCAAAACTACTGTGGCTTGTATTGTTTCTGTGGTGACACTACGCTGCTGTAGGATGAGCTGCCGGAGTGGTGTGATGGCTCCGCAGTGAGGCTGAAGCACAAGGCCAGTCTCATATAAAAGGGATGCAGGGGCTGAGCCACCAGGACTGCAGTGGGAGCACGACTGGGCCAATTCAGATCAGTCAAAAGGTGGAGAGAGCAACAGGAAATAAAAGAAACCTTTTCCTGACAGATAAAAAGCAAGAAACCAAAGCCAGCCCCTTGGGCGACGGTGCTGAATCTGTACAAACACATGAATCTAGCTCTTGCTTGTGCAGGTTCCTGCTGGACCAAGCCTTGCTCCCAGTTCACCCGGAGAGGCTTGCTCCAGGCCCCCGTGCTGGTAGGGTCAGGCCAGCAGAACCTGATGCTTTGTTAAATAAAACTCCAAAAACTAGAAAACAAACAAAAAAGGAAGGAAGGAAAAAGCTAATGCCATAGGGTAAGCGGTAGTTTGCCTGACTGGTCTGTCCTGAACACTAATCTCCACGTCTTGTACCCATGTGAGCCTCTCGCTCCAGCCCCTCTCCCACGCATTCCAGGCAGAGTGCATTGAAAGATGTGACTGAAGCAGCTGCTCTCCCTTGGAGTCAAGCACTTTGCCACGTCTGAAAGTCTGTACACTTACTTCCTTTATCGTGATTGTAAAGGTCACCACATGCAGTACAGCCACTTGATCTGGGATCTTTTCTTAACTCATTTTTATGCTGATTTTACTATTTTAATTCTTTATTTGGAATGTATTTTTTTTTCTCATTTCTTCTGTGTGTAACAGCAATTAAAAATATTAATTTACTGGGTATTTTTACTGTGCAGATACAATGCCTCTTTGCTCATTTTCTGTTTCTGTGACAGTTTCAGCATGGAGTATGTAGCCAACTGAACCTCTGCGGTGGGCAGTTTTCTGCCACTTAGGCCCATGGGTTCTGTGGCTCTGCCCTGGACCTACCCAGCGCCCCACTAAAGCCGACTGACACTGGCACAGCCGGCTGTAGTGTTCCTGCCTGGGGAACCCTGAAACACAGCCACAGCTCTGCAGGGCACAACTGACACAAACCAACCAGACACCACTGTGGACGATGGCACCTGGGCTTGTGTCACAACACATCCTGGGTGCCCTGGGATGCGGAGCCCTGAAGCACACTTGCCTCTTGCTGCTACAGCCAGTGCTGCATACAACAGCCGTTTGTACATACTTCCAGGGAGAAGGCAGCTCGCTGCAAAGGATTGCTCTGGGAAGGCTGCTTGCTTCCCAGAAGTCCCAGACAAATGGCCAAGTCTCTCTTCCCTCTGGCCCCAGCAGAATTTCCAGGACAAAAAAGTAGGGTAGTATGGACATTTTTCTCTGGTTGGGGATCTGATGCCATTTCTTTCAGCTGTTTGATGCAGTGGCACAGATATCTGGTTTCATCAATCCTGAACCAGGCCATCTGTCACCAGTGGAACAGGTTTCAAGGATTTATAGCATAGAAACACAGAGTGTGTAACTCCTCTCAATCCAGTAAATGGGTCTGCCCACAGGCTTAACAGAGACTTCTTCACACTCCCCTCTGAAGTGGAGTAGTTCCTGAGAGTGAATCAGTAGTAGGCAGAATTAATACCAAATTCTTTTCAAAGCAGCCTAAAGGGGTTAATGGCAGGCAAGAGCGGGTGCTTCTTTCCTCTTTAATTTGGCCTTTTACAATTCCTTTCAAAAATCTAGAGGCCTGCTGGGAGGAGCATCCTGTTTCCTCACTCCTCCTTCCTAGCTCCAGATGGAACAGAGGTAGCAAAATATTCCCAGACTGAGCATTGGTCTGGCTGGCCACTGCTATGCTTTTATTCCAGCAGCTGGCTTCTGGAAGTATTCAATCTAAATTAAAAGAACCACCACCAATGTATATTTATGTGTATTTATCTATCTGTCAATCTGTTGATCCTTCAGTGGATCAGATATTCTGTAATTCCCTATCTAGTCTTGGTCACCAGTAGTGAAGTTCCTGGACATTTCTGGATCTCAAGTTTTACCTTCTACAGCTAGCTCTTTCACAAAGTGACTCCCTCATTTGCAAAGCTGCAGACTGTATTTACTTTCTTGGTATTGAAAGGATTTAAGTACTTCAGATACATTGCTTACTCTATGTTTATATACAATCTGACATTAAGAAGCTTAGATGATCATGGAGGTCCTGCTGGGCTATCTGGGGACACAGAGACAGAACCCAAGTCTCCTCTTGAACTCAGAAACAGGATTCTCATTGACCAGTGTGGAAACAAACTGATACATGGAAGAGTGAACTGCAATCTTCGGCTCCTTTTATTACCATTAAGACACATTAGCAGATGGTATTAGAAATACCACCTTTACCCCGCACCCTGCTGTCCGAAATTACTTAGAGGGAAGGAAGACAGAAACATCAGGAGCATCCCTACTGAGCAGAAGCCCCACTCTGCCACCTGGTTTAACCAACCATTACAGAAGCCAAGGGTAGTTGCATTTTGAGCTACACAAAGATAAACTACACAGCCACAGCAATGCTGTTCTGCATGCTGGACCAGGCAGAGCTAGTTCCACTAATTACATCTTGTGTTTTGACTTCTGCAAACTCTCTGTCACTGTGTCCAGGAGGCTTGTTTCATCTTTTTCTTAAGAAAAAAAAAATGAAAAAAGGACTAAGTGCCATAATTACTGCAACAAATCCTATGTTTTGAGTGGAAGTCTCACAAAGTTCTGGCTAAAAAGCTTTATAAAGCTTCCCACTGTATAAAGGAGAAAGTTGTCTGGTCACAGTTTTCATAGGACCAGTTAAGGCCTTTTCATAGTTCAAAGTTAGGGAGTTCTCATTTCCCCTTATTCAATCCATCACTGTTCCAATAATTCCCTTTTGGTCTGGCAGGCTTTGTGTTCTTTGCAACCTTCCACCTCCCAGCCTAAGAAAAATTATATTCATCCCTTCTGAGCTAAAACAGCAGGAAAGGTGCTGCTGTGTGTCAGAGGCAGAGCAATGCCCAATTTCTTTTTGCAAATACTAAGAAAAATGCTAAAACTGAAAACATAGCTAAGCAGAAGAGTGCGAGCATCCTTCCTTAAAGGAGAGAGAGAGAGAAGAGCATGCATTAAGAGGAGCGGAGACAGGCCTTTGAGAAACAGGGGTTTAGCTCCCTTGTAATCAGCACAGAAACCAGCAACTGAGACTCCTGCACAGCTATTTGAATCAGCAAATTTGCTCATCACTCGTTACTCCTTTAACCGTCGACAGGCTGTCACCACAGGCAGTCTCTCAAAAAAATCCCTAAACAAAGTGTTTCAAGTTCTGGCCTAACTAAAAGAGCTTTTGCAGGAGGTACAATGTCCTCTGGCCTACAGCACCTGACTCCAGGCAGAACTGCTCCTCTTCCAGAACTAAAATCAGCAAGAATATAGTTCCTGAAATCTAGAATAAAACTGCAGTTAAGCTCAATTTGAAACAAATTCCTTATCTCCTAAAGTCAGTTTTACAGCCTCTTATTTTGACTCTTGCTTTCCCACCTCACTTGACGGCAAATAGGCCGAGCAGCAGAGAGACCCTCCTGAAAGACTGCCCAGGTCAAGGTAAGGAGGAGCCTGAAGAGGCCTCAGAAATAGGCTCCCATTAAGGAATCTGAATATAAATTAGTACCTCACCCACACAGTGCTTTTGTAAGCCTTGTTCCTTAGCCAGCTCTGCTTGTAAACAGGTTGCTTTGAATACCTTTGAAGAGGTATGTTCCTACTGTAACAGTCCTTACCTCAACAAGCTCTGTGTGGGAAGGCAGAAGGTAACTCCTACCCAGCAATCAGATCTCTGAGGGGATAGAAAGCTGTTCTTGTGCCTCTCAGGCCTGCCTGCCCTCCCGAACCTGGGTGAGGAGCACTGCCAGGGCTCCTCTTACGCCAGCCTGGCTGGCAGTGATGCCAAGCCAGGGAAAGCTCCCGCTGATTGTAGGGACCAGGGAAGTGTCCTCCAGCTGTGGCTTGAAACTGTGGCTTCAGGGAGGAGTGTTTCAGGGAGCGGGGGAAGCGGGACATCCAACAACACCAGGAATTCTTAAAAAATGGTAAAGAACTGCTTTCAGTCTTTTAGATGGGCAGTGGTTGGCTTCAGTGAAAGAAGTGTTGCATGTATCCCACATGCACAGACAGATGAATCTGCTTGAAAATCAGAGCAGGAAACCCGGCATGTTACATCCTTTCCCTCCACTGACCCACCCTGAACTACTTCCACAGTAGCAGAGAGAACCAAACCCTGGGGGGAGCTCAGCAGTTGTCAGCAGGCTGTCCAGAAGCAATGATCACAGACAAAAATAACCTTAAAGATCTTTCCAAATATAGTCCCTCATTATTGGTGCTGTATCAGTTTCATTTCAAGCTGTGTCTGGCACTGTCTCTCTCTTGTTCCCTTTAAGGGAACACCAACCGGGCCCGAGGCACCAGGGCCTTTCCCTGGAAAGGGAGAATGGGGGAAACATACTTCAGTGTCATGACAGAAAAAAGGATGGAGAATTCTTGCTTTCTTGCTCTTGTTCAAAAAGGTCCTGCTCTTGTTCAACCTTGACGGCTCCCTAGTTAATCAATCATAAGCAGGGTGAGCTTACCAGAGGCTCATGAAAGTCACAGGACACAGCTGTTTGAAGACACTGCTGAACATATTGTAAGACCACTCTGCAAGCTCTAAGTTTGTGTATGGTGACATGGGGAAACTGTGTGGGGTGGGGGTTACTGTTAGTAAAACCTAACTCCATGCACCTGGAAGTGTTCAGTCTCATAGGTCCAATTTGAGTTAGCAGGAACCAAGCTGTGTGCTTCCAGCATGGAAAAAAACAGAGATGGGGGAGAGGAATATAAAATATCTGATTTTCTTCCTTTTTGTGGCTTGGAAATTTTTACTAGCTTTCATACAATGTTGGCCAGATCCTGCCATTTCACAAAGGAAGAAAACAGATATACCCAGTGCAGTGTCTGTGGTATCTGCAAAAAAAAGCACAAAACTGTTGTCATAATGCATCAGTTGACTCCTTGGAGGTGCTAAGTATGCCACAGTGCAGGGCAAGCCTGGTTAGGGACTGAAAAATGGACATATTTGCTTTTGAGTCATCTAGGGAATACATGAGACCTGCTAACCAAAATACCCCATTTTAAGGGACCCAATACTGCCTTCAAGCAATTGAAGACAAATCTCAATGACTTCAGAGAAAGACAAACTCAGAGTTAGGCTGCTTTTTGGATACGAAGGTAAGTTCTTACAATGTGGCCCTTGCAGCTCCAGCTGAAGTAACTACAGACTGAGCAACTTCTTCCTCTGTGGGACAAGGATGAGAGCCAAACTACCCCAGAGAAGTCTGATCCACAGTGCCCTGGAAAATAGCAGGGTGTAAATCATACTCGGGAGACATTAAATCTATGATTATTCAGCCTGGAGGGAATTGCCCCCAACAAATCACAGTGGCTGCAAGTCAGACTTACCACAGATGATCAGCTTGCAGTTGCAAGCAGACAGATGCTACTTGTTGAGTTGAACCACAACTTAGACTTGGATGTGATGATAATATTCCCTTGTACAGTGCCCCTGTTGGGTGGGGGTTACTGGTGAAAGCACGGCTCGTGGCACAGTCATTGCCATGACTCATACTGTGGTTCTTCGGCGCGGTGATGCAATGGGAAACAGTCCTTCCTGGGAAACTGCTTCACCTTGAAGTCAAAACACTGCTGAGGAGAGAGTCAGTATGGGCTGCTTCACACTGCACTGTCTGTTGCACATGCAAACATAGAGCTAGCACCAAGATAGCATCTTTTCCTGCATGACTACAAATCCAAAGAGCTTAGGAATGACATTTCATGACCTGAGCCTTCTTTCCCACCAGGTAAAACTCAGGGAGGAGGAACAATGAACAATACGCCACATTGCCCTCATGTAAACAAATACAAACTGAAAAGCAAGAGAGGAAGGAATCAGAAATCTCATTCTCCCGACATACTTCTGTGCAACTGTAAGCAAGCAATTAATTTCTTTGTTTCTTGATCTGTAAATATGGTGTCACGTTTTTGCTCTATGGGGATATATCGATGCTTTCTCTCACTAACACCATTAAACTGTAAAGCGCTTTTGGATATTTGGCTCCCAAGGCACTTTAGAAATGCATGATTAAATTACACCCAATTATAAACCAAAGCAGGTGATCTTGTAAAGAAAGGCTTATTGCTTTGCTGGCATTGCTCTGAGGCAATAATAGTCTACAGAATGCTCTGGGGGAATCAAGGGGAACTGCACATGCAATTTAATTTCCGTTGTCCAATGCAAATCTTCTATTTTCAGCCTGTATTTAAACACATTTCTTGAAGTCTTTATTATCTCCCTTTGCATTGGCATGGGGTCCCATCAGGTAAATCCACTGGATTCCAGAAGTAGCACTGTATGGCAAAATTCTCTTATGAGATCACATACTCAGAAAACTGCTGTATCTCCTCCTCATCCTTCAGAGTTTTTCTACCATTTTCCAGGTTTGCAAATAAACCTTGTGACTTGCCATTTATAATGAAGAATAGGAAAACAATTCACATCTGCTTGTGTCCTGCTGTCCTGCCTGAAGACAGGCAGGCTGTTATCAAGGCACAACCAACCTAGCTTTTCCTCCATTTACTACTCTTTTATACTCGCCTACCTACACAGGAGTTACTGTAGTTATTTTAGACTCTGTTAAGGTCCGGGCCTCGAGTACCACCATACAAGAACACAGCTACAGCCATATAAATGGAAGTGATCTTTCTCAGCTGCACACGTAACCAAAGTAACATGCCTATGGTCTAGTTACAATGATCAAGAAAGGCTGATTGTTAAATACAAATATGAAGTGTGACACTCAATTACTCATGTTAATTTCACTGAATTTCACTGAAATTAATGTATTATTTTGTTGTTTTAATGTATTGCTCATTACTCTTAATGGAATTAGGAGACTTGTAGCAGCATGTGGATAGGCTTCTGAAGAAATATATGCAGAGTCTGGTAATATATATTAATATAGAGTTTTATATTACTATATTATTATGACAGGCATAGGCAAAGCAAAAAAAAAAAAAAAAAAAAAAAAAAAAAACTTGTATCCACATA